CGCTACTTCCTGCTGGTGGTTGACGACTACTCGCGTTACACCACAGTCTTCCCCTTGCGCAGCAAGGGTGAGGTCACTCAGGTGTTGATCGACTGGATCCGCGCAGCTCGTCTTCAGCTTCGGAGAAGCTTTGGCTCTGACTTCCCTGTCTTGCGTCTGCACTCGGACAGAGGCGGAGAGTTCTCCTCTGCCCTCCTGAGTGCCTACTGTCGTGTGCGAGGCATCCGTCAGACCTTCACGCTTCCGGACTCACCACAGCAAAATGGGATCGCTGAGCGCCGCATTGGCATGGTCATGGACGTCGCTCGTACGTCCATGATGCATGCGGCTGCTCCCCATTTTCTGTGGCCGTTTGCGGTCAGGTACGCTGCGCACCAGATCAACCTCCACCCCAGGGTCTCTCGACCGGAGACCTCCCCAGCTCTGTTGTGGACGGGGAAGGTTGGCGATGCGTCGGCGTTCCGGGTCTGGGGATCTCGGGCGTTTGTTCGCGACCTGTCTGCGGACAAGCTGTCCCCTCGTGCTTCTCCCTGCGTCTTCCTCGGGTTCCCCCCCGACGCCCCTGGGTGGCAGTTTTACCACCCCACCTCTCGACGTGTTCTGTCCTCCCAGGACGTCACGTTCGACGAGTCGGTACCCTACTACCGCCTCTTCCCCTACCGCACTCCGTCCCTCCCCCCACCCCCGCTCTTCTTGGTACCAGGTCCCCCCCTAGTAGTCCCCCTCCCCCCTCTGGGTCCTGCCCCTTCAGGTGTGTCTCAGGTAGACGCGGTCGAGCCTGTCGAGGTCACTGGTGACTCCGGTGCTGCTGCGGGAGCTGAGCCTGGGGGTGCGGAGTCTAGGGGTGCTGAGCCTGGGGGTGCTGAGCCTGGGGGTGCGGAGTCTGGGGGTGCTGGGCCTGGGGGTGCTGAGCCTGGGGGTGCTGTGCCTGGGGGTGCTGAGCCTGGGGGTGCTGTGCCTGGGGGTGCTGTGTCTGGGGGTACTGAGCCTGGGGGTGCTGAGCCTGGGGGTGCTGAGCCTGGAGGTGCCGAGCCTGGAGGTGCTGTGCCTGGGGGTGCTTCGTCTCGCCGGGAGCCGCTCTCTCCACAGGAGCTGCGTGAGTGGTTTGCCCGGCGCTGGAGGCGTGCCGCTGGTGCTGGTGGTTCTTCGGCTGCGGAGGGCGCTGCTGCCACGCGACCTGGCGGTGCTCGTCCTGTGGGTGCTGGAGCTGCTGGGTCTGAGGGTTCTCCTGGAGCTGGTCCTGCTGAGGACGTTGGCGCTGAGCCTGCGGTTGGTGGTCCGACTGACGGTGCTCCTGGTGCTGCTGCTGGAGGTTCTGGAGCTTCTGGTGGTTCTGCTGGAGGTGCTGCTGGAGTGGGTGCTCCGGCCGGAGCTGCTGGTTCTGTTCCTGCTGTTTCTGGCGTCGCCGCGCGGTCTCGACCGTACTTCGTTCCGCTCCTGGAGCAGGTTCTTGGTCTTGCTCCTCCTCCTCCTCCCTTAGAGGGTCCGCAGCCTGTCCGGTCACAGCCACAGCTAGAGCCTGCCTCCCCTTTGCCTGCTCCTTCTCCCTACGCTGGTCCGACTGGAGGCCTTACTGAGCGTCGTGAGCCTGCGTCTCGTCCTGCGTCGCCTGTTCGTACTGAGCGCGCTAGTGGTCGCGGGTCGCGTCAGCGTCCTCCTCCTGTCCCTGGCACGCACCGGATGTCACTGCGTCCGTCCACTGCTCCTCTGCGTGCCCCTTTGCCTTCTCCTCCTGCTTCCTCTCTTCCTGCTCTTGCCGACCCGGAGTCGGACTCTCTTCGTGCTGCCAGTCCTACTGTCACGCGTCTCCTTGCTACTACTGTCACTGACCCTTCCTTCGAGTCGTCTGCTGCGTCTGCCCTTGTCACTGAGCTTGTCGACTTTGCTGCGCGCTGTCGTCTAGACTACGCTGCTCGTCTTGTCGCTGAGTCAGAGTCCGCCTGTCCTCCGTCCGTCGGGGGTGAGTGTGCCCTTGGCACGGACGTCCTAGAGGACAGGCAGGAGGAGTTCCAGTGTCTAGCCGCTGCTTCACCTCGTCTCGCGTCTGTACTGCTAGCCCCTGAGGGAGACCCGGATGCACTAGACATCCCGACTCCGCGTTCTTACGCGGAGGCCGTAGAGGGTCCCTACTCCTCTCAGTGGCAGGCAGCTATGGATGCAGAGATGGCTTCCTGGAAGTCCACAGGCACCTACGTTGACGCGGTTCCCCCTCCTGGGGCGAACATCGTCAGTGGCATGTGGATCTTCAGGGTGAAGCGGCCGCCGGGCTCGCCGCCTGTCTTCAAGGCGCGTTACGTGGCTCGTGGCTTCAGTCAGCGGCAGGGAGTTGACTACTTTCAGACCTTCTCTCCCACCCCGAAGATGACCACTCTTCGGGTGCTGCTGCACATTGCCGCTCAGCGCGACTACGAGCTTCACTCTCTCGACTTCAGCACTGCGTTCCTGCAGGGTAGCCTGCACGAGGAGATCTGGCTGCGCCGTCCGCCTGGCTTCACTGGGACTTTCCCTCCTGGCACCCAGTGGAGCCTCCGACGGCCAGTCTACGGTCTCCGCCAGGCACCGCGTGAGTGGCACGACACACTGAGGACTACGCTTGCGGCTCTTGGGTTTGCTCCTTCTACTGCTGACCCGTCGCTGTTTCTTCGCACCGACACTTCCCTGCCGCCGTTCTACATCCTCGTGTACGTCGACGACTTGGTCTTTGCCACAGCGGACACTGCTGGACTCGCCTACGTGAAGTCCGAGCTGCTGAAGAGACACACGTGCACAGACCTGGGTGAACTGCGCAGCTACCTTGGCTTGCAGATCACTCGGGACAGAGCACGCCGCACCATTACCCTGACTCAGTCACACATGGTGCAGCAGGTCCTTCAGCGCTTCGGCTTCACGTACTCCTCGCCTCAGGCCACTCCTCTGCCTACTCGCCACTCACTCTCAGCTCTGCCTTCGGATGAGTCCGTAGAGTCGAGTGGTCCGTATGCAGAGCTTGTTGGCTGCCTCATGTACCTGATGACCTGCACACGACCTGACCTTGCATACCCTCTGAGCATTCTTGCACGCTATGTTGCTTCTGGGAGACACAGACCGGAGCACATGGCTGCAGCGAAGAGGGTATTGCGCTACCTGTGCAGCACGTCGGGCATGGGGCTAGTGCTTGGAGGGCGGAGTCCAGTGGTCCTTACCGGCCACGCGGACGCTTCTTGGGCTGACAACCAGGCTACGCAGCGGTCGTCACAGGGTTACACCTTCAGCCTTGGTTCCGGCTCTGTCTCGTGGCGGTCTACTCGCTCGTCTTCGGTTCTCGGCTCCAGTTGTGAGGCTGAGATCTACGCCGGGGCCATGGCTGCACAGGAGCTTCGCTGGCTCACCTACCTGCTGACTGACCTTGGAGAGCTGCCTCGTTCTCCTCCAGTGCTGTACGTAGACAACAAGGCCATGTTGGCCTTGTGTCGAGAGCAGCGCTTGGAGCACAGAACGAAGCACATTGCTCTCCGCTACTTCCTTGCTCGTGAGCTGCAGCAGCGTGGTCAGTTGCGACTTGCTTACGTGGCCTCTGAGGCCAACACTGCTGATGTGTTCACCAAGGCACTTGCGCCTTGCGACCATCAGCGCTTTTGTACCCAGCTGGGTCTTGTACCTGTCTTGCCTCACTTGCTCTCTTCTTGACTTTACTTGTACTTTGACATATATATAGCTGCTCTTGCTTGATTAGTTTTATATATATGTCTGTACTCCTGCATGTGAACTGGCCTCTGGCCTTGCTCTTGTGCTCGGACTGTGTGGTGACTTTGTGATCCACCCTGAGCTTGCTTTGCTTTGCTTGACTGGTCTTGTGACCCCTTGTTCTCCCCCACTTTGCCTATGGGGGTGTGTCAGATTATTATAGCTGATGCATGTTTGTAGGCTATAGTGGGGTAGCACATATGGGGTACAGTTTGCTAGGGTTGTATTTGTACCCAACTCTGACTTAGTCATTCATTCCTGTTCATTCCTTTCACAGATAGTTCATTCATTCATGTTCGTACTTCTGATAAGGTTTCAGAGCAGGTCCTAGCCTAGGACCATTTTTTTTTTTTTTAGGCCCACCAAACCAATCTACCCCACGAGTCGCGCCGCCCGGTTAGCATCGCGCCGCCCTACCCTGCCCTGCGTCGCGCTGCCGCGCACGCCCTACCCTGCCCTGCCCGCGCGCTACTTGCTGCCGCGCGCCCTGCCCTGCCCGCGCGAAGCTCGCCGCCGCGCGCACTGCCATGCCCGCGCGCTGCTCGCCGCCGCGCCGCGCGCCCTCACTGCGCGCCGCTCGCCGCTGCGCCGCGCGCCCTACTTGCGCGCCCTGGCTGCGCGCCGCCGCGTTGCGCACCCTGCCTGCGCGCCGCCGCGCCGCGCACCCTGCCTGCGCGCCGCTCGCTGCCGCCGCTGCGCCACGCCGCCGCGCCGTACGCCCTGCCCTGCCCGCGCGCCACCTGCCGCCGGCTCTGCCCTGCCCGCGCACTGCCCGCCGCCGGCTCTGCCCTGCCCGCGCGCCGCCCGCCTCCATGTACCCTGCCCTGCCATCGCGCCGCCAGCAGCCGCGCGCCCTGCCTTGCCCTTGCGCCGCTAGCAGCTGCGCTGCCCTTTCTGTGCGCCGCTCTGCTGGCCACTGCCCTGGCTGCCTTCTTTGCGCGCTGCCCTGCTGCTAGCACGCTCGACTTGCACGCTAGCACTGCTCACAGTGGCTTACTCGTGACGCTGCTGCCCGCCTAGCCGTTCGCAACCACCTGCCGTTAGCCGAACGCACTCACTTCGGACAGCACAAGACTGCGAAAGCACTGTACGACGCTGTAGTCGCTTGTCACTCCTCCCCGGCCATTGCTGCTCTAGGCCGCCTTCTCCTACCCTACCTATTCTTACAGCTGTCCGCCTTTGCCACAGTAACCGGCCTCGTCACTCACCTTTGCACTAGTGACACTCGCTACCGTGCTGCGCTTCCCGCCGAGTTTCTCACCAAGAACCCTCCTCCCATGTACATCACTCTCTACTTCATAGTCACCCGCCTCCTTGACTCTCTTAGCGTAGTCAGGGACCTCCTTCTCGCCCTTGACCCCACCACCCTCACTGTCGACCTGCTTGAGAAGCACCTCCTTCCAGCTGAGACTAGCGTAGTCGCTGTAGGCGCTTCTCGTGGCACTCCTCGCACTCCCTTCTTTGAGGGGTGTTCGCCCTCCCCCCTTCTCTCCTCAGTTGCCTGTGCTGCTGATGTTGACTACCTTCATGCTGAGGAGGTAGGAGCTGCGTCTGCCCCTAGTGGGAGGCGCCGCAGCGGCAGGGGCAGGGGAGGAAGGGGCGGTGGGGGCGGCAAAGGTGGAGGCGGTGGTGGGGGCGGTGGAGGCGGTGGAAGGGTGGTGGTGTAGGTGGCGGCGGTGGTGGCGGCAGTGGCGGTAGTGGCGGCGGCAGTGGTGGCGGCAGTGGCAGTGGAGGCGGTGGCAGTGGTGGCGGCCGAGGTGGTACCAGTCAGAGGGGAGGCCTTGGCGGTGATCAGAGGCAGCAGCAGCAGCGCCAGCTTTCGCCCAAGGAGCTACGTGAGTGGTTTGCTCAGCGTGGGGTGGCTGGGGGTAGTGGTCCCTGCCCATATGTCATTCGCACAGGTGACCGCACTGGTCAGACATGCGGGAAGCTCTATACCCAGTACCGCTGCTTCTCTCGTCTTACGGACACCTTCCGCGCAGAGTTTCCTGAGGCGGCTGAGCTCCCCCGCTGGGCAGAGCTGCTTAGGCAGGGTGCAGACATCTTTGCTCTTGATTATGATGCTATCCTTTCTGCCATGTATGCATTTACTGCTAGTGCAGAGGGTGACTATTACCTGTGTATGCCGCCAGACCCTGGTATAGAGGGTGTTGCTCTAGGTGCTAGTAAGTCTGTTGCTCTAGGTGCTGGTGAGTCTGCTCTCCCTGGTACTGCGTCTGCTGCAGCCTTGCACACCTTCACGCCTGACTCTGGTGCTTCCCGCTGTTTCTTTCGCAACAGTACCACAGTCACGCCGCGCTCTGCACGTGTTGTCTCTCTGGCCGACCTCTCTGGGGGCCCAGTCCTTGCACGTTCCTCCACTGTTCTGCCTTGTCTAGCGGTTCGGTTTGGCTCACTGTCAGGTCTCCACCTCCCCTCGTTCTCTACAAACTTGGTGAGCACCGCAGTCCTTCAGAATCAGTGGGTTGATACCTTCACCTCTGCAGGACAGAGTCTGGCAATCTGTACGTGCTCCTGGATCGGCAGGCACCTGGCCACGTTCACCCGTCGGCGTGGGTCGAGTCTGTACACACTGACTACTGCACCTTCTCAGGTAATTGCTTTTGCGTTTGCGTCAGGTCAGCTAGCGGCCCCCTGCTCGTGTCGCGCCCTGTCGCACCAGACGCTCCTTTGGCACCACCGCCTTGGTCACCCCTCTGCGGCACGCCTCCGTGGCATGCACTCCAGTCTCCTTGTCTCCGCTCTTCCCAGGTCCCTGCTGTCAGAACATTATAGCTTATACATTTGCGTAGGCTGTAGTGGGGTAGCCCATAAGGGGTACAACCCAATTAGGGTTAGTACTTGTACCCAACTCTTTCATAGTTCAATCATTTCTCTCGTTCTCATCTTCACATGGTATAGAGCTGGTTCCCTTGTGGGAACTGTTCCTAGGGCCCACCGACTTTTTTTTCCTGCCCGGAGCACGCTTGGCCCCTGCCCGAGTCGCGCCCCGTGTCGTTCCCCCTCTAGCAGCCTCTAGCGGCCCCTTTTACGGCCCCTAACGACCCCGTCACGCCGCCCTTTCGGCCCCGTCGCGCCGCCCTTGCGGCCCCGTCGCGCCGCCCTTGCGGCCCCGTCGCGCCGCCCTTGCGGCCCCGTCGCGCCGCCCTTTACGCGGCCTCGTCGCCGCCCCTTCCTGCGGCCTAGTCGCCGCCCTTTCAGCAGCCTCGTCGCCCCCCCTTTCCTGCGGCCCAGTCGCCGCCCTTTCAGCGGCCCCGTTGCCGCCCTTTTAGCGGCCCCGTCGCCCGCCCTTCCGCGGCCCCGACACCGCCCTTCCGCGGCCCCGTCGCCACCCTCCAGCGGCCCCGTCGCCGCCCTTCAGCGGCCCCGTCGCCGCCCTTTCAGCGGCCCCGTCGCCGCCCGCCCTTTCAGCGGCCCCACCGCCGCCCTTCAACGGCCCCGTCGCCGCCCTTATACGGCCTCGCAGCCCGCCCTTACAGTGGCCCCGTCGCCCACCCTTCTGCGGCCCCGTCGCCGCCCTCCAGTGGCCCCGTCGCCGCCCTTCCGCGGCCCCGTAGCCGCCCTTTCAGCGGCCCCGTCGCCGCCCGCCCTTTGAGCGGCCCGTCGCCGCCCTTTCAGCGGCCCGTCGCTGCCCTTTCAGCGGCCCCATCGCCGCCCTTCCACAACCTCGTCGCCGCTCAGCCGCCTAGCGCCCGAGCCGCCCAACAGCCGAACCGCCGAGCAGCCGAGCCGCCCGACAGACGAGCCACCCAGCAGCCGAGGCGCCAAGCAGCCGAGCCGCCCGACCACCGAGCCGCCCTGCAGCCGAGCCGCCCGACCGCTGAGCCGCCGAGCAACCGAGCCGCCCAGCAGCCAAGCCACCGAGCCGCCAAGCCGCCCGACCGCCCCACTTGCCGGGTAAGAGCAGCGTCTCTGCCACTGCACTGCCCTGCCCCACTGTACTCACTGCCTGTCTACTGCTGTCACGGCCTCCCCTAGTGTTCTCACCTTTGACGCTGAGGGTCGGGCAGTTGACTTTGAGGTTTGGGTAGATGATCTGCAGCTTTTCCTACAGTGCGATAGGGCAGACGGTCTCTCCCTGTTTGACCTCACTTCTGGTGCCTCTCCTGCCCCTGCTGCTGATGCCGACGTCACTGTTCGCTCACAGTGGGCCACGCGTGATGGTGCTGCTCGCCTTGCTGTGCGCCGCCACTTACCGACCACTGAGCGCGCACACTTTAGCCAGTACAAGAGTGCTCGGACCTTGTACGACGCTGTAGTTGCACGCTACTCTTCCCCAGCCACTGCTGCACTGAGCCGCCTCATGCTACCGTACCTCTTCCCTGACCTTGCTGCCTTTCCCACAGTCGCTGACCTCATTACGCACCTCCGCACTAGTGACACTCGCTACCGCGCTGTGCTTCCTACTGAGTTCTGCGCCAAGAACCCTCCCCCCCCCATGTACATCACCCTCTACTACATAGTCACCCGGCTCCCTGACTCTCTCCGCATAGTCAGGGACCACTTCCTCTCAGTTTGCCCCACCACTCTCACCGTTGACCTCCTCGAGAAGGCCCTCCTAGCGATAGAGAAGAGCATATTCGCTGTAGGAGCCTCTCGTGGTGACCCTCGCACCCCCGTCTTCTAGGGGTGTTCTCCCTCCCCCCTCTTGCCCTCTGTTACCTCGTTGGCTTTGAGTCGGTCGGCGTTGCGTCTGCCCCGAGCGGGAGACGCCGCACCGGCAAGGGCAAGGGGGGCAAGGGCGCTGGAGGAGCTGGAGGGGGCGGTGGAGGTGGTGGTGGAGGCAGTGGAGGGAGTGGGGGTGGTGGTGGGAGTGGTACCGGGGGTGGCGGGGGCGGTGGCAGCAGTGGAGGCGTTGGAGGCGGTGGTGGTGGCGGAGGGAGCGGAGGCGGCGGAGGGAGCGGAGGCGGCGGAGGTAACGGAGGAGGCGGAGGTGGAGGAGGCGACGGAGGCGGCGGTGGCGGCGGCGGTGGTGGAGCGGGTCGCGACTCTGCGCAGAGGAGTGGCTCAGGTGGTGGTCCGCGCCAGCAGCAGCGGAGTGGTGTGACCCTGTCCCCTCAGTAGCTTCGTGAGTGGTACACTGCGCGTCTGCGCGGTGGGGGTTTTGGTCCCTGCACTTACGTCCTCCGTACCGGCGACCGAGCTGGTGAGCAGTGCAGAGGCCCGCACTCCACCCAGCGCTGCTTCGGTCGCCTGACGGACGCGTGGCATTGCCAGTTCCCTGAGGCGACAGAGATCCCTCGCTGGGGAGATCTGTCTAGGGCGGGGGTTGCCGTCTTTGATCTTGACTATGATGCTATTCTTACTGCCATGTATGCTGTTGATGATAGTGTTGTGGGTGACTGTTACCTGTGTGTACCGCCTGACCTGGGCATTGAGGCTACTGCTCTAGGTGCTGGTGAGGCTGCTGCTCTAGGTGCTAGTGCGTCAGCTGCCCCATGTGCTAGTGCGTCTGCTGCCCCAGGTGCTGGTGAGTCTGCGCTCTCAGGTCCAACGTCGGCTCAGGCCTTACACACCTTCACCCTTGACTCGGGTGCGTCCCGCTCCTTCTTTCTAGACTGCACCACTCTTACGCCGCTCAGTCGGCCAGTTGCAGTCTCCCTGGCGGACCCCTCTGGGGGTCCTGTCCTTGCTAGCTTCTCCACTATCTTACCGTGCCCGGCAGCCCCTTGTGGCACCCTGGGAGGTCTCTACCTCCCCTCGTTCTCTACGAATTTGGTGAGTGGAACGGATCAACAGGACAGGGGGGTTGACCAGTTCACTCCTGCGAGTCAGCGAGTGACCCACTGCACATGTGCTCGGACAGGCTGACACTTGGCCACGTTCACCCATCAACCAGAGTCGAGCCTGTACACCCTTACTACTTAGTCTCCTCCGGCTGCTCAGTCTGCCCAGGTAGCTGTGTCGAGTCAGGTGTTTGCTGCAGCGTCCAGGTCCGGTCCTGAGTCTGCTCCCTGCTCGTGTCGTCTGCTGTCCCACCAGACTCTCCTTTGGCACCACCGCCTTGGTCACCCCTCCCTGCCTCGTCTCCGAGGCATGGCCTCCCGTGTCCTTGTCTCTGGTCTCCCTCGGTCTCTCCCTTCCCTACCTCCGGGGCCTAGCCCTACCTGCGTCCCCTGCGTCGAGGGGCGACAACGCGCCGCCCCTCACTCCTCCGTGTTTCCTCCGACAGAGGCTCCGCTGCAGACTCTCCACATGGATGTGTGGGGCCCAGCCCGCGTCAGTGGGCAGGGGCGCGAGCAGTACTTCCTGCTGGTAGTTGACGACTACTCGCGTTACATCACAGTCTTCCCTTTGCGCAGCAAGGGTGATGTCCTTGAGGTGTTGATCGACTGGATCCGCGCAGCTCGTCTCCAGCTCAGAGAGAGTTTCGGCTCGGACTTTCCTGTTCTACGTCTGCACTCGGATAGAGGCGGAGAGTTTTCCTCTGCCCGTCTGGGAGCCTTCTGTCGTGCACAAGGCATCCGCCAGACCTTCACGCTTCCGGCCTCTCCACAGCAAAATTGGATTGCTGAGCGCCGCATTGGCATGGTCATGGACGTTGCTCGTACGTCCATGATGCATGCGGCTGCCCCCCATTTTCTGTGGCCGTTTGCGGTTCAGTACGCCGCGCATCAGCTCAACCTTCAGCCCCGGGTCTCCTTGCCAGAGACCTCCCCCGCCTTGCGGTGGACCGGGAAGGTTGGCGATGCGTCTGCGTTTCGGGTCTGGGGATCTCGGTCGTTTGTCGGCGACTTGTGTGCGGACAAGGTGTCCCCCCGTGCTGTTCCCTGCGTCTTCCTTGGCTTCCCCCCTGACGCGCCTGGTTGGCAGTTTTACCACCCCACCTCGCGCCGTGTTCTGTCCTCCCAGGACGTCACCTTTGACGAGTCGGTACCTTACTACCGTCTCTTCCCCTACCGCACTGCGCCTCTCCCCCCGCCGCCGCTCTTCCTTGCACCAGGTCCTCCCCCGGTAGACCCCCTCCCCCCTCAGGGTCCTGCCCTGTTAGGTGTGTCCCAGGTAGACGCGGTCGAGCCAGTCGAGGTAGCTGCTGACTCTGGTGCTGCTAGAGGTGCTGAGCCTGCGGGTGCCGGGTCTGGGGGTGCTGAGACAGGGGGTACGGAGCCTAGGGGTGGGGAGTCTGGAGGTGCGGAGCCTGGGGGTGCCGAGCCTGAGGGCGCTGGGTCTGCTCGTGTGGCCGCCGGCGGTGCTTCGTCGAGGCAGGAGCCGCTCTCTCCACAGGAGCTACGCGAGTGGTTTGCCCGCCGCTGGAGACGTGCTGCTGAGAGTAGGGGTGCTGCTGGGGCTACTGAAGTTGGTCCTGCTGGAGCTGCTGGCGGTACTGGTGCTACTGGAGCTGGAGCTGCTAGGGGTGTTGGCGCTGGTGTTTCTACTGGAGCTGGTGCGTCTGGGGGTGCTACTGAGGCTGCTGGAGGTGACAGTCCTTCTGGAGCTGGTGATGCTGGAAATGAGGTGCTGGGGATGTTGGCGCTGGTGGTGTTGCTGGCGCTGGTGCTTCTGAGTGTGCTGGAGTTGGCGCTGTTGGAGCTGGAGGTGCTACTGGCGCTGGTGCTGTTGGTGGGGGTACTGGTGCCGTCCTTGCTGGTTCTGGAGGCGCTGAGTGGCCAAGGCCGTACTTCGTTCC